AGTTAATGTTATTAAGGGGGTACATATTTTATTAGAGGAGCAACTTATCGTTTAGAAGAAATAGGCAACTTATATATGTCTTATATCAGGATTACTTTTGATAGCTTTAAGATTTTTTATTTTTTATTTTTATTTTTTATTTATTTTTTATTTTTTTTTTAAATTTTTTGAAAGAAGCTTTTAGAATCATCAATTAATTAGACCCTTCTTATATATTGCAACATTTAATATTAATGTACATCCGCATGCCTTAATTAAGAGTTTGTGTAGATTGTGATGTAAAAAGTGAAATTTACTAATAACAAAGATGTATGTATTGATATCTAATTAAATAAAACTTCTCGAAAAAAGATACATATATATTTGTATATGTTAGCTAATGAGAAATTGTGGTGATACAGTACATATAACAGTAACTCATGAATTGCACACATTGTCCACAAGGTAAGCATTAACTCTTATCTATATATATTACTGTTTAGTAACAAATTTTAATTAGTTTATTAACATGCAATCGGTAATTAAAGATTATTTACTTTTTATTAATTAATTTACAACCTAAACATCAAATACTTTTTTTAAAATTAAAGAAAACAGTTAAATCACTGAAAAAAAATTAATTATTATTATTTTTCATTTTTTTTTCACTGGCTAGTTTGACAACTCAATCAAATCAAAGAACAAAAGATGGAGTTTTAAATCACTAAGATTTGCTCAAAACTAGGGTTTTGGCATTACCATATACTTGTATTTGTCACACCTAAAAACCCTCCTAGACTTTTAAGGTTTTGATGACCCCAAAAACTTGTAACCTTTTCAACAAATTTGACGTTGAAGGCTTCCAAGAACGGAGAAACAAGCAAATTGCCCAAATTGATAGAAGATGGGGACAATGACAATTATGATTGAGACTTTGCTGAAAGTGATGTACATGAATTTGTAGTGAATTTTAGCTTGTTATTTTGGAAGACTCATAATCTTTATTTGACCCTTTGTGACTCTAATTAAGAATCAATAATATAATGTATTTTGTCTTAATCCTTACCATTTTTCCTAATTAATTAAGCAAAACCCTAAACAATAATTAATTATTTCCGAGCACAAAATTAATTATTATTATCATCGTCTTCATCATCGTTAATGATATTTAATTAGGCTAAGTATGAAACTAAACTATATAGAGGCTGGACCATTTGTATTGGACTTAAGTCCTTCCCATGTGACATGCACCTACCAAAGTCTCGAATCTGCCAATTTATCTGTTGTGTTTTCTGCCTACAATGTCTTTACAAACTCACAAGCTTAATAATTACTTTATTATCTTGTAATTCCCTTAATTACCCTTTTTAACAGTTTGATTAACCAATCAAATCAGCCCAATATAGTAGGGATTAAGAGAGATTAATTACGACTTTTAGTATTAATTAAATAAAAGTAAAGGAGATTAAGCTAAGCGACAAATATATAACTGTGGTAACCCATGTGAAATTAGCGATTAATAAGTTGATAATCATGTGTCTAAACTTTGTTTTCTTCATTGACTAGATGCTAATCCAATTAGGATCTTGTTCATTAATTATTTTGTTTTGTGGGGGACTTCCTGTCTCTCTCCAATCACCATATTCCAACTATTTTTAATAATACACGAAACGTTTCAACCTCTAATTTGGCGTTATGTAACCCAAGTTTATATCATGTTTAAACCAAAGTTTTTGGCTAGAATACATGTACATTGTCCTACCTAGAGTTCTTGGTCAAACCTAGCTTATAGATCATGACTTATTATGCCACTTTTTTTAGAGATCAACACCCATATTTTGAAATGCTTAGGAAAACACAATCAATTTGTTTTTCCATCTCTTGCAAATCTTACATGTATTCTTGTCAAGCTATAAAAATATTGAACAGAGAATATATAATGTGTCACCTTTCTTGCCACGAGTTCAGTATCACACTGCTCAACAACAGTGGTATGCCGAATTTAACCCCACGATTCGACATGGTTTAGATTCCCAATAACAGATTAACTCAAATGAGACATTTAGGTTTTATCATCATGATATGCATTTTTGTTAACCATCTATAGAAACACATGACCACAACTCATTCTTTATTTTGTTGTTATATCATTAAATCCTCACAATCTTCCAAATTACCACGGTGCAAGCAATAAAATTAGGGTATCCGATGATACCAAAGTTATCCATGATTAAGGCAATAAATGTTATAAGAAGTTATGAATGATTGAAATAGCAAAAATAATACGTTAAAAATCAAACTTCTCCCTTAATTAGACCTTTAAAAAAAAAAAACACTCATTTGAAATAATAATTTCGAACTTTAATTTCATGCTGTAGGATATTAGTAATACATGCAAGTACTGAAATTGTAAACCTTGAAACTCTATAGCATAATTTGTTATATATTTGAGAAAATTAGGAAAATATGTACTACTATATAATATGAGATCGATGGGGTAAAGATTTTAGAATTGACCACTAATAACTTCAAATTACAACAATAACAATTAATACTTGCACATTATTTAACCTAAAATTTTTTGAAACACAATTTATAATTACACATAATTACTACGTCTCTATTATTGTACAACTAATTCATTTTCTAAGACAAATATTGTAAGTATAATTTAAATGGATTTTTCCACTAAATTAACATGAACTTTTGCAATGAATCAGCAAATTTGATATGAGGCACACATCCCTTACTTATGTTATTACCTTATAGGCATGTGCAGTACATAGTTATAAATATAATCCATCAACTATAATAAAAGGTGATCAAATATTGCTATTGATGGATTGAAATACTACATAAGAGATATGAGTGTTCCCGTTACATTCAAAAGTTGAGAAAGTTGCCGTACAGATGGCAATGGATCGGATTTGGATCGGGTGGAGCTTCACCCGCATCCATCCATTATCCTAATTGCTCCATCCACATCCATCCGTCATCCGCTTCACCCATCATCCATATCCGTTCGTCCATCATCCGCGGATGAAACGGGTGGAGCGGATGATAAATGGATGAGTACTAAAATGAAAAAAAAAAACTCAGATAAACTTTAATTTTTGGTTATTTATATAATAATTTTTTAAATTTATTAATAAAAAAGAAACAATAACAACATATTGTTTGAAAAATTAATTTGCAACAAAAAAAAGACAAGTAATTTTCTTGCACATTCTATATTTTATTAGTAAAAATCTTTGATTAAAAATTTAATATATATTAAACGGATGGGTGGATGGTTAGCGGGTGAAAAAAATATCATCCACATCCGATCCGATCCATCATCCACTTCATCCGTCACCCGCTTCTCATCCATTTAATTCGGGTTTTCGTCCATTTATTTTAAGCGGGTGGAGCGGGTTAGCGGATATCCACTTAATATTGTCTCTCTAGGTACTCTGTTTATTTATTTTTTGGAACAATAATATTGTATTCTTTGATAAAATTAAAAAAAAAAACCTAAAATAAATAAAAATTAGACGAACTTTAAGTAATAGCCTGAAACGCAAAGTGAAAAAAAGTTTGTCGAACAAAGCGAGTAGGTATAACATAATTATAAATCCAATCCATATCAACTAAGCTAACTATTAAAAACACTCAAAGATTGTTAATTGAGATGAGATAAGATCCTATGTATTAAACACATTAAAAAGTTGGAGCATATCATACCACTTAGATTAGTAGAGAATATTAATTTCCCACTATCTTAAATTAATTAGGTATTTATAGACATTATTCCAACTTACTTGGGAGTGAATCTTTTCTTTATCCTCTAAAACCAAACAAATTTAATTTATTTCTCTTTCTCGGAAGCAATTTTAATTAACCAAACACTACACCTATGTTGTACGGACGTGATTAAAAATTGTAGTACGAGATTGAAGTTAGCATTCTTTAATTAACAACATAGTTATTCATATAAAATAACATAATATAGCATATACTCTTACATTATAAACTAATCTGTGCAACTTTAAACTTCTTTAGTGAGGGAGAAGGTAGTTTAGAGGGATTCTGAGGTGTACAACCTTCGAGATAATTTCGTTACTCGTGTTTTTTTTTTTTTTTTTTTTTTTTTTGGAATAAAAATAAGAAAAAGGTGTACTATGCAAATATAAATTGTCCAGGTTCTTAATCATTTTGTATAAGATTGAGTGCATCACAAATTTGTTATTCCAATGTTATTGACAACAGAAGATTCATATCTTGGTCATCACAATTTAGTCACCCAATTTATCCTTAATTGAAATAAACAATCAATTAACATGGCTTTGGATTTGGGTTTTTATAGCTTGGAATTCCATGGCTTTTAATAATTAGACACTTAATATGACATGATTCATTATCCTTATATTCTGTTTGGTTGAGAAGAAAATCATACTCCGTATTATTGTATATATATACTGTAGTTTAAAAATAATATAATATTGAAAAAAAAATCCCACTTTCATATGGTCCGTTGTTATAAGAGTGGAAATAGTTTTCTATAGTGTCGAATAATATTTTCCATAGACGGATTAATGTTTCTTATTAACAGAAGAAATGACACAATACTTTATCTTTCTCATCTCCTATTCCATTTCCTTTAGTTTTTCTAGTGATTAAATAAACGAAGTTGAAAGACTAGATTATTTGGCTAAATTTTTAAATAGACAATACCAAAAAGCTAAAATTAAATATTGTCTACATCAATTTCCCTACGTGAATGTCTTTACTCGCACATAAATCTTCTTCGATCATGTTCCTACTCTTATAAACCCTTTTTGAATCATTGCATCAATTGAGATCTCATTTTTATTTACAAATTATCTATCTATAAATGAAAAACTTAAATAAGAAAAACAATTAAGTTGATATTATAAAAGTATACATCAACACCAATTGAACAAAAACTCATGAATAGATTTTTCCTTACAATTGAAATCACAACAAATCATATTATAGTGCATAAATAATGTAAAATTCAATTGACGCAATATTATCAAAGTATTTACTTCACAATATTTTCTTATGTACTATGTAAATGCAACATAGGCAACTTAGCTCATAGATAGGAAACTCGGATCACAAGTGACGGACCTTGTTTACATCAAAGATAAAAAGGACGGTGAATGTAATCGATCTTTTCCTTGAGTTTCCAGACATGAATATATTGTTGAGTGCGATAAAAGATTTCACAAAGGAATAAACATAACGTAAGAAGACAGCCATAATCATAATTATTCCCTAGACTATCACACCAACACTGAATGGGCAGCACTCCTGCTGGCTTTGGATCTGCACAACCTGATCTGAAACCAGCAACATCAACCTGTACTCTGGTTTCCTAAATTAGCAGGACCATATGACAGGCGTGAAGAAGAAAGCTGGCTTTCAACAAACATGTCAGAATAATATACTATAATGTTTATAATTTACCTCTTCAAATTGCCAGTCTAATTATAACAACAATTCCTCGTACTTTTATACAACTACTTGTAATAAGTTACAACTATGAAGCCTGATACGCCCACATTGAAGACTTGCTCCTTGGCTCGATATGCTCTCCAAGAAACGGGATAAAAATAAACCCATGGTAAAACTCGCTCTTTACAAATAAATCAATCGACCAGTATAACAATGATACTGACGGTAAATAACCTTATCTACCTATTCTTGTTTCCCAGGCACAGGAAAAAACATGACTTCTCGAGTAATATGGAAAAAATAAACACAAAAAGAAGGGAGAATAAAAGAAATAATAAAGGAATCACCCTACCTAAACCCAATATACAAATTCTACGCTTCTGTTGTCCGTACTTGATTATGTACGAGGCAGTAATCAATGATCTACATTCAGCCGCCTCAGCTCAGCTTGGAAAGAGGGACTAGAACCAAGTGTGCGGCGTGCAAGACTCCTAATGTCATCGCGCGAACAATCACGTGATATGCGAACAAGTTCCCACAGAGCACCCCCATTAATCATGTCCTTAGCATTTGCCTCTGAGCAAGGGGGATAAAATGGTTTGTAAATAACATGCAAAAAAGATGGCATAGGTTGAAAAAGTTGAGGTATATAGGAAGCATACCATGTTGAGCAAGGTGGCAGAGTGCCAGTTCAATGTGCCGCCTAATTGATGAGGCTTCATTGTTGGAATTATGTACAATCCAAGGGAGTGCACCATCCTCGATAAGCAGAGATCTCCCAGTTCTAAATCCTGCAATTTAAAGGACAATATTTAGAGTGGGAAATTAGTGAATAATTACAAATTCATAATAGTCCTACAATGCATCCACTTGACTGCACCAAGACAGATTTTTCTTCCATCAAAACAGCACATAAATAATATTCTCAAGACCGCAAAAGCAGCCCTTACAAAAATATTATTATGCTGACTAATAATAAGAAGTTAAAAAGTATGCAGCAAGGTGTTGAAATCAAAAATTCAAAGTGAAACTCGACAATAAATGTGAAATCCTTCATGCCTTTGATTGAAAGAGGAAAGGAAACAAAGAATCTATCGCAATGGATTTTTTTTGATTTGAACACAAATCCATAGATTAAGTGGAGTGGTTTAGGTAATAATTCAGAAACAAGACGCACAGCATCTAAGGACACCTAAAATCTCAACTCCAAATTCCAACGTAAACAAATTGTACGATGCCTTTTTCAAGTTGATCTTTTAGTGGGCAACTGAGTATTATTTCAAGATACGGAAATGAGTAATATGAAAGTTAACACGACAAAACAAATGTAAGAATAAATCCTACAGCATGTTCAATACAGAATTAGAAATTCAAGCTCAATTATTCACAGTAAAAATGTGTTGGATCAGTGGTATTATCCCGTAACCCAATAGATTTTGGATTGATACTGCTCAACCAGCTACAAACCCTAAGTAGTTAAATTTTAAGCCAAAACAACCCAAAAAACGTAGTCCTGCAGTTTGGTATGGAACTTAATTTTAACCATAGTATATACAGTAATAGTGAGAGAGACAGAGAGGAAACGCGGCTAATATCTTTGTATTCATTAACAAACAATCATATGGGGGTTAACAAGAAGCAGCAACAGGTAGATGTTTAACATTAAAAATAGTTGATCGTATATACCTTGAGTTGATGCCCTGGATTCACATTTTGCAAAGTTTGCAATCCCACGAGCAACTTGTGCAAGAACATCAGGGTGTCCAAATCTGACCATCCCCAACAATGCCTTGATACCACCTTCACCTCTGAGTTTGGCCTGCAGTTTGTCTGACAGAAATTTGGTAAGTAATACTCAACCAACTTCCTACCAAAAAATCAAGTTTTTTAAATTCTCAGTACACACACACACACTCCGTAGTACATCATATTTTGTAAGACAAGTCTACTATAACATCACAAGATCTACAAAAACTTAACACTAGCAAATCAATTGCACTATTTACCATGATTCAAAAATCTGGGTGCTACGATCGAAACCCAAATACAAAAATTCAATTTTAGGTAGAAAGACCTTTAGGAAAGGTAATATAGGTGAAAGTCCATCAACCACAACCAATTATCTTTTAAATCACATTATGATTTCAAATGAGCTTGATAAGAGTGCATGGACTAGCTCACTATATGGACATGGCTTATCCCCTGTTACCTCCCCCCACCCCTCCCTCTTTTTCTCTCCCGCGAACTGCAATCCAAAAAAAAAGAAAATTCATACATGAGCAATACAAAGTAATTTAAAAAAACTAGAAACAATTTGCATTCCTGTACCCACTTTCATACCGCAAACTGGTTAACACTGCTTTAAAAAAATGAAATTCAGGCATTAAGTAATGCTGTAATGACATCAAAATTTTAATAAGCTAATGACAAGCTGGATTACAATTAAACTGCTTGAGGTCTAATGTCACACACTCCCCCCCCCCCTCCCCCCTCCTTTCTCTCTTTCCCCACTTACTTTGAAATAGCACAATTAAAATCACTTTAAAATAGCACAATTAAAATAACTAAAAGACTTTTAAAGTCAATTGTTCATTAAAGCCATGGTTTACCATTGCCACAAAGATTAGCAACTGCTCCAGCAATCATGCGAAGGGTTTGAGGATCCTCTGCTTTAGTAGCTGTTACTGATAGCAAACTTACACCTCCTTGGGCCATTATTAGCTCTTGGTTGGTTTCTGAAGTGACAAGAAAAGGAGCAAATATTAACTTAACAGCATAAGTAGGAAAAGATAATGGAGCCTGATAAAAGAAAGGTTAACTAATTCACCGTTCATTGCTAAGTTTGCAATAGCACCAGCAGCAACTCGATGTATGGTCTCATCCTCAGAGCTTCTAAGAAGATTTAGCAAAGAAGTAAGCCCACCGGCCTCAACAATCTTCTCCTGGTTAGTTTCTGCAGGATCAAGGAGAGTGAAATCGTCAAATCACAATGAAGTGACGTCAGAGAAAAAACAATTTTCTAAGGTATTTACCTTCTGCGGCCAAATTTGCAACAACTTTCACAGCATGAATTCGTACGTCAGCGTCTTCTGCTTCAAGTAATGACAATATCTTCTGCAAACCAACTGTAAGGAGACTGATTCTTGTTAAAACAGAAGAGTGCAGGAAAACAAGCAGTATTAAACAAATTCAAGAGAAATTTACGCTATAGTTGCTTACCTTGTTCAAAGAGTTTAGCTACTGAACTCTTATCCTCATTTCCTGCATCATCTGTTTGAGGTTGAACGCCTTGAACTTGTGTCACTTGAGTATCAACCTCAACATGAACTTTAGAGGTCCCATTGTCAAGTCTTCTTCTAGTCTATACAATAGCCAAGATAAATTCTTTTACAATCCACAAATGCCTTCCCAACTTATGATGCAGTTACAGAGATTTGCAAGTAATTTTTTGAAAACAAGCTTCTGGCACCAATCTCTGATATCAAAGAGATGGCAGCACAATGCAATGAAAATCCTTTCCTTTGTTTTTTATGCTGTTGCTTGTCCAAGTATCTAGCTTTCTTTAAAACAGAACATTATTGCATGTACCAAGGCCAAAAAATAATGATAAATGTTTCAGTTTTTAGCTTAACATGAGCATCCACATTTCCACACCAAGAGTAGCACCAGTGCCATGGAAAGTAGACAACAAGTTGATATGAAGTCAGGTGCACTAGTGTCACGAAAGAGGGAACTGTTGTCTTAAGCCTTTGCTTAGGATAAGATTGACAGACAGTTTATAGGATTTCTAATGAATACTGGTAGGCTGGTAGCAACTAGAAACTAGACAAGCTCACAAGATAGAGATGTTAAACATCGTGATTTTTACCTCAGGAAACTCGAGCTACAATGCAAAATTCCATTTCTGAAGAAGAAATTTACAAAGATAATGATCTATTACTAGTTTCACTTATGATCTAGACCTACAGTGTATGAATTCTGAGTGTCTTGATGTCTGGAGAGAACACCATACCTCATCAGCTTCAAAGCTTAGTTGCAACAATTGCCCTTGTAGCATAGCTATCTCACGTTCAAGTTTTTCTCGTTGGTTGGCCTCATCCTTCAACATCTGATGAAGCTTTAACATTTCAGAATTTGCAGCTGTCTGAACATAAAGAATGTAGTAAGTCTAAGATTCAGCATCAAGCAATGGAAAAAGTACATAACATTAACTTAGCTACTTTCAATTGAATCAACATACCTCTTGTTTCTTTGATTGCGCAAGCTGCATTTTAAGATTGGATGCCTCATCTTCAGCAGCCTTCCTCAGAAGCTTTTCACTCTGAAGCAACCTTTTCACCTCAGTAACTTCTTCATTAGCATGTACCTGACACGCCTGGCATATAAACATTAAAAATGCTCCTTGCGCTTCATACACATATACGTGGAAAACTACGGAACCAATGATATGTACAGCTAATCTACAATAGCTTACACAAAGCTTAAAGAAAGGACTGTAACCTTGGCAGAAATATATATATATATATATATATATATATATATATACAGCATTACTGGCTGATTAATAAGAATATATGTGGGTTGTGTCCAACAAATTAGCAAACAAAATAATACAAAGCATCAAAGACATGAAAAGTTAGGTTTCTCATACACCAAACAAATTAAACTTAGAGCTATACCCAGTGAGGATAGTTTAAAACAAGCTCCCTATCTATTCTATAAGGAAATTCATGAAGTGGTGTCCACATGAAAATATCATTTTACCCCTCGTAGGTCAATATTAAAACTGGGGGGGGGGGGAAAGAGAAAAAAAAAAAGTCCAACAGACAAATCAAATAAAACTGACAACACTAAATTACAATTACAATTTAGGGGAAGGGCATGTTAGCCACAATCTATTACAAGTAACTTGGGGAATAAGCTAGAGGTTTGTTAGGAGGGATTTTCTATAAATAGGTCTCATTAGGAGAAAGGGGACATGTTATATAGCGTGGTTTGTTATGGGGAGAGAGTGAGCCTGTCAAAAGCTCCTACTAAGGAGAGATTCCACCTCTCAAAAGTGGAATTATTAGTCAATTTACTGTAATTTTCATCGCATCAATATAATCATCATTTTCTTCTCATTAGCCGCCATTGTTAAGTGCTGTAAGCTACGTGAGTTCCTAGCAACAAAACAAACCCTATAACAGTATGACAATCACCTCGGGCTTACTCATCCATGTTTTACGTCCAAAAACCAATTACCTTTCTGGCTTCCTCAGGGTGTTTTACCTTTTTTTCCAAACAAATAAATCATCTAGCACCAAAAAAAATATACTTCATAATTCATGTTCGATTAATCACTCCATTATAATACCTTTATCATATTATAATAACATTATCCAAGTTTATGTGATAAAACTTACACGATATGAAAGACAATTATGTTTCAAATATTGATTATTTATTATTAGTATACCTTTAGATATTTTTTCCACAACTAATGCTACTTCTGTCTTTATAAGTGCAACACTTTCCATAAAGACCGATTTTTTAAGAGCAACAATTCTAAAAATAGAAATTCTTTACAATTTTTTTTAATCTCTCTCCCTCTCCAGCCATGGTTCCCAGTGCCTACTTTTACTCTTTTTTTTTTTTTTTTAATTCCTTCCTCTCACATCACTTGCTTTTAAATAAACTATTCACTCACTTTCTTCTTTCAATAATGATATTAGATTTCCCTTATTATTCTATAATTGATTTCCAAAATATAATTTAACAAACATTCTAAATTTCAATCATGCATTGCGTGAATAAAGAGTCCGTTCACTATAATACCAACACAACAGCAAGTCCCTGGAAGTTATTCTACCATTAAAAAAAATCAATTAGTTCAAGCGTCAAAGCAATCTTAAGATCACATATATCAAGACATATCATCCAAAATCACATTGGATATGTACAATTAATACAAGGATCAAGGTGCAGCTACATGAGGATTATATGGTTAGGAAAAGAAGAAAACATATGAGCATTTAAACAAGCCCACTGCTGTAACCAATTTAAGTGAAAAAAAAAAAAAAAAAAAAAAAAGAGAGAGAACTGAGGAAGTGAAAAGGACACTTAATTGGCACATCGTGTGAGAAGTGAAGCATGAATACCTCTCTTGTGCATGATTTGACTGACATATCATGCTTAGCACCAGATGTACTGGCTTCATTGCTTTGCTTTCGCTGATTGATTGCCCATTGCTCCTCAAGCTTCTTTACTGCCTCCATATAGTCTTTCTGATATTTTAATCTCTCTTCCTAGAGAAGGAAATCATTATCAGTAACTCAGATTTAGAAACAATAGACACAAATTAACCATAAGAACAATAATTTTAGCACTGCTTGCAACAGACACATGTCTTAATATATGCTTATGGGATTAAGGCTTTGATTGATTGATTGATTTGCAACAGAACCAGAGTAGACTTAGGCCATGTTTGGTAATTAGCTGATTGATATAGCAGATTGTATTAGCTGATTTGACTAGCAGGTTATAATCGCTGGTTATGAAAAAGTGTTTGGTAAATAGGTGTTAATTGTTCAATAAGCTAATTTTAAAAAGCTCTTATAATGAGCTTTTTCTAAAAGAGCTCTTTAAGCCCAAAATGCTCTTTTGAAAAGCTATTTACCATACACCCAAATAGTAAGAGTACAACAGTGTGACTACGCCCACTGTGCTGGACCACAGTTGCTAGGACAGAACAGAAATAAGTTAAGAATCATTGATAGCCTATGATTTCAGAGTTCATTTACCAACTACAAGAGAGGATTCCTGGTGAGGTGGCTTTCCCTCACACCCACCCAGGTAGAAGCACCGCCCTACAGATTAGAGAAGTTGGCTTTTCCCTCCCCAACCACCTCAAAAAATGCTTGGATCGCACAGATTATGAAACATGCCAATTTCCCAAGCTTATGCTGCTTTCTCTCTTCATTTTATACTAAATGCCTGCCTTAAAAGCTTGACACAAAGACATGGTGTTGATATCCTTAACGCACCAATTTTCACCCAGAAACCTCAATTCCTTCATCCACATATTGGTAAAGGAATGAAAATAATGACAACAGGAAAGGTACATAATATATGCTCACAGATGAATTAAATATAAGAACATTAACTGATTAACAAGAATAACAAACATATAAACTTGAAATGACTTGTGTATAGATGTAAAATCCGAGAAGCTTAAGCAAAAGTCTGTTAAGATCAGGAAGGGTTTTTTTTCCCTTAATGTTGTGTCCTGAAACCCTGACAAATTTTTACTCTGTATAATGTGTCCTAGTGTCTAACATTGGACCTGGGTAAAGCAGACCCAATCACCAAAAAAATATTGTAGAACTCCAGGATGGTTCAGCATTTCCAGCTGGCAGCGTATTCCAATGTATGCAGGAAAAAACAGGTATGCAGAGACTGATAGTTAATGGGCTAAAGGGAGTCAGAAATACTAGAGAAGCAAACAAGCAAGGTTCACCATAAGCAAATGAAATGGAAATCATCCAGGAAATGTTATAAAATTCTAATTTATTACTTGTTCCAGGTTCAGCCTAAACATTACTTTAAATTACTAGAATAATTCTTTATATCCAACAGCAGAAGGGGGAAAAAAATACAATCAATATTTAAAAATTTCCAAATTAGACTTGCTTTCTCACTTAGCCATTTTATTAGAAATTGATTGTACATAATTGATGACCTTACTAGAACAGGATCTGTTCTATAGGATCATACCTTTATATCCTTGATTGTACATAATTAAATACTGTATATAGAATTACAGACCGGTAAGGCAGAATTACCTCCAAAGCATCAGCGTACTTTCGTTCAGCATCAGATACACGATCTTGTGCCTCCTTGTCAATCTGATCAATCCTGTCCTGGAAAGCCTTTTGTAGCCTTTCACTTTCTGCCATTAATTTGTCTAGTTGTATGTCAAGCTTTCTGGACAGACTTTTATAATCGAATTCTTCCTTTATTTTCAACATGTTTTCCACCTTCATCGCCTGTAAAATATTATGAACCATCATCATGTGAAGCCAAATATACAGTAACGCTTGAAGAGACGCTAATAAAGACATAACTTCAACAATGGCCCCACATGTAACTCAAAATTCATATACCACCTTGGAATATATTTCTTTTCTTATTGGAGAAAATTTTCACCACTAAAAAAACAAATATTGAACAAACGTAACTGATAACTGCAAGTGTACAAAAGATACATCTGTTCTCATGAAGACAGTACAGCAGTTTACACGAGAGTCCATTTTATTATATACAGAGAACAACAAGATAGTATAGGTTTGTGGTTTGCCACTCACCCTTTGTCCAAACATTATGGTGCTCGCTGTTTCACCTCGGTGACGTGAGGATGGCCCAATTGTAACAACCAATGAAGTCCTAGCAGTACCTGACAGCACATGAATTGCCTCAGTATACATTCATACATGTTCAACCTTATATTAACTGGCCACTAATTAGGTTGGTAATGAGAATTTATTCATATAAAAATACTCTAACATCCATCATGCAAGATACAATCTAGTATATTGAAAAGGAGTCAAACATGAAAGAAAAATAACACAGCTGACCACCAAATGAATCTCGAAGTAACCGAGTAAGCTTTGAATCGCGAACTGGAACATGCGCACTATTTTCTGCAAGAGCATTAATACACTTTCCTAATGCACTTAAAGAGAGATTGATAGATTTAGCTTCCTCTAGGGCATGACCATCACTTCCTGGAAAACACGAAGCGAGGAAATCTTAGGGCATGTTGTCATTGAGAGGAAATTTGACCCTTAAAGCAGAAAAAATAGCAGCACAAAGCCAAAAATAAGAAACATCAAACCAGGATTAGTATAGAAATAGTGAGGCATTGAGGAAAAAAGGTACTAACAAAAACATCTAAAACAAAAGAGATGAGATAAGAATAGCAAAATTTTCAAAACGAATTATATAATCAGATACCATAACACCAAATCCCAGTTAAACAAAAATGTGGTCTTGAGAAGCAACGGGGATTTCCTTCCATAATTAGCTAAAATATGCTGTGCTTTGGGGAAAAAAAAAAGGTAAAATAGAACACATAGGAATGCAATGTGGAAACTGTAAAGTTCCCATTGACCTCTCAAAGAGAGCTTTAAAATAGGAACAAGCAAGTAAAGAAAACAAAATGATCTCTTCAATAAAGTAATTTAGGTAAGCACCTGACTTGTCAATACGCTCAGAACCTGCAAGATCAACTACGACGAGTTTGCCCTTTCGCACAACTGAAGGTTTGAGGTTTTTAACATGAGAGCTACTTCCATTCTCATTTGGTAAAGCTGAATCCCTATCCTTGACAGATCTTCTCACATGTACCTGCATGAATGCAATGAGCACTATGAGGTTCAATCATGAAAGAAGATGAGAGTAGACATCACAATACAACCAGCTATAAGAACTTATAAAGAGAGATTTTATAACCATCAAAATAGCATGACTACGAGAAGATTCTGTATTCAATTTGGTATTTGTAGCAAAGCGGTGTGCTTCCCCTAATCTTAGCAGCTCTAGGAAGCTCTTTTGATCCTTGATTTCAACACAACTAGCACCAGGGAGCGAAACGTCTCCAGACTTTGGATCTTCCATGATGGAGATGTTGTCATTACTAGGATTAAGTAAATCTTGTATTGTTTCCATGTACAACTACAAGGAGTTTATGAAAGAAATGATTTCATGTCATATATTAAATTATTAAATCAGAGATATTTTGTACATGCCAAACTTCATCATGGGTCAGAATGACATTTTAAAACAAAGGATAAGACATGAATTGTTTTTTTTAGAGATTCTCACAAATGTTTTCAAGGATACAAACCTGGAAATAGGAAATTAAGACAGTATCAGTATCCAAACGAATACCAGCCAAAATATCCTCCATTGCACGCACCATAATTCCACGACCAGCTGTATCTTCCTCTCCAAGTTGTCCTAGTGTGTAAGTTTTTCCAGTGCCAGTTTGTCCATATGCCATAATTGTTCCATTATAACCATCCAAAACACTCTGCAGATAATGATAACACACGGAATCATGTAGTTGAATAGATAACATTTTCCCAGCGCATGCAAAATGCATATGGAGTTAGATGTAACAGATGTAGCAGTGCATCAAGTGTTTCACTAATGAAGTGTGCAGAAGAAAGAATACAAACCTCCACAACAGGTTTCGCCACAACCTCGTAAATGCGTTTTTGTGATGCGAATTCGGTCAGAACCTCATCAAACTCATAAGTATCTGAGTCCCAGTTGTTCTTACGAAGCTTTAGTCTTTTAAGCTGTGGTAAACAAATCAGTTATCTGACAATGGAAAATTCCATAGGAAACCTAAAAGAATTGGATTCCAGCAAAAAAGTAAAACCTCTGGTTGTAGCTCTACACAGTCTGCAAAATCAGCATCTGCAACCAACTCCTCTGCGTTCCTAGGTCGTAATCTCACAGCAACTCGTACTCTCCCCAAAACTAGTAAAAACAAAGGGCAACATTATAGATTTCTTAAGTCCCAGATTAGCCTTGATTACAAGGTAAATCACATATTCTAAACTTTTTGGCTTGAGAATATACAATAATGTAGACAAGACTATGAATCATTCCATACAGGTTGTTACAAACACTCATCGCTTGTCTAGCACAAAGTTGCAATGACCCACTAAGGTAATGAAGATAAAACTAGGGATTTTTTTTTTCTAATGGAACTTCCTGGGTAAACTTCTATAGTCACAAAAACTTTTGTATACATCCGATATACAATAATATTACAGTACAATAATATTTGGAATGGGAGATTAAAACAAATAGATGGGGAGAACTCATATTAGGCAATAGAGACGTGCCACGTTGAAAACACTCACATAGGATAACTTACAATTATTCAACAAAAGTTAAATTTTGTGATAATGTGAAATGAGTCTAAAAGTTAAATTTTGTGATAATGTGAAATGAGTCTTGCAACCCAAACAAGGAGAAGGAGAGTTTGGTCCACAAACAAGGCTAAGTAGATTTCATACTAAAATCAATTGGCAATAGTAGGAGTAACTCTTGTACCTTATAAAGTGGCATCATCTTTCCTTTTTCTTCAATGTGGGACACTTACAAGTGGGCTATAGGTCTAGCAACCTCAACAAAGAGGAGGAGAGTTTGGTCCACAAACAAGGCTAAGGAGATTTCATACTAAAACCAATTGGCAATAGTAGGAGTAACTCCCCAACCTTATCAAGTGGAACCATCTCTCCTCTATCTTCAATATGGGACACTCACAAGTAGGCTACAATGGGTTTCAACACATCTGCACATCAAGCAAGTGTTTTTTTTACAATTTATTTCATCATCACTTCAACTACCTAGACTTGGATACGTGGAATAAGATATTAAAATAAAGAAACAAGTTTTTTCTTGTTTTTTTTATTTATTTATTTTATTAATAGATGGGGAGAACACATATTATGTAACAGTGACGTCCTACGTTGAGAACACTCACATGGGATACCTTACAATTACACACAAAATCCATTCCTGCTTCCTTAATTTATGATCTTGCACAATCCAACACATGTAGGCATAACACAAGGAAATGAATTGTGATAGGTCTTTCAACTATCAAGTAGCACCTTGCACTAAGGCTGTATAATTCATAGCAAAATTTGAGACAAGACCAAAAGAAGAGTTCAGAAAAGACAGCAGTTGTTATATCATGTAAGAATATTCTCAAGGGCAATCATAAGAAGAATACAACATGACACCTATGTAACTATAATTCTTCATCTAGACCCGATAACCAGTGCTCGGCCCTCGGATACCTTAATAACATGACAAAAACAACAGATGATATCAGGTCCCATACTGTAGTCCACCACAGCCATTTGATATTTGTCCTCAAGTCCGAGTAGTCCAGATATATATCACTTCCAAGTTCCAACCTTACATAATCAATGTACAACTACCCACACAAATTCATCCAACAAATATTAACTTCCAATTAATCATTACCAAATTTGGAAACTAAGTTGAAGGCATGTAGCAGAAATAATAAGCATTATATAAACATTAATTAAACCCATAATTTCATCATGGATTCCAAACTTACAACAAGAAGTATCTAAGAAAATGGATCAGCACCCAGCAGAATTCTAATAAAAAATTCAAGGGGAATAATTACACAAACCCTAATGGATAATTAAGTATAATGATAAAAAGCTAAAAGCGGAAACATTAATTACACCAATCCACCCATATTTATATCCGAAACTTAATAATTTGAGCTAAATGTCATTAATTATCATCACATTTGAAATAATTAAGACAATTAAAACGGAAAAAAGAACGAACCAGCGGCGTCGTTTTTGGCGGAGGAGAGAGAAGCAGGGGAACTCCGACGAAGCGAAGAGGTAGCAGAAGACGAAGATTTATTAGATTTAACAGAAACATTAGAAGAAGAAAGAGAAGACCTAGGGTTTAAATTAATGGAGGAATTATGAGTTTTATTAATGGAGGATTTGGAATTTCCATTTCTGGAATGATTCCAGCTTCCACTATTAATCGACATTTGCGAAATTTGTTCTTCAATTCAATTCAATTAATCGCAGAAAAATTGAAATGATTTTGATGGTTGAAATGATTATGATGATTGAAATGATGAGATAATTTGAAATTAGGGTTGAAATTGAAAAGGGAAAAAAGGAGGACAGTGAAGAGAAATGGAGAAAAAAGCTAGAAATGGAGGAGAGAGAGTGGTGGAGGGGAAGTAAATATAATGGAGGGAGAGAAAAGAAAGTGGACCAAATCGTGTCCCCGAAGTGGGAGTGTGAGAGGGGAAGAGTATTGTAAAAGTGCGCACATTTTTTACGAAATTTTTGGGTTTCTTTCCTAATTTTGATTTAGGATTCCGGATCTTAAGAAATTAAGGTAGCGTGATTCGTAGTAGGAATGTAGGATTGCGATTTGCGAATTGGGTTCAGCAGCTTGTGAGTGAGTAACTCGAGTTGACTCGACTTAATTTAAAACTTTCAGTGATATTAAATGAGGTGTACAAGCTTTAAATCGCTTGTATGATTTGTGAATAGTTAAAATTAATTAAATTTGACAAAAAGTAAATACTACTATATTTTGTCTTTATAGGGAAAGCTAAACACTTAATTAGAAAGAGTAGATAATAATTTATCTCGAAATGACTAAAATTGCAACAAGCATATTGACTCGAATTGAAATTTTAATTTCGTATAAGTCGAGTAAGGAATTATTGGGCTTAGCAAGTAGCTGACACAAGCAAAAAAAGTTAATAAGACCTTATTTAGTTTACCTTATTTTTGCTTATTTGATCTGGTCTGATCTGATATGATCTTATTGTCTGATTTTATCAAACTTTTACCAAGTGTATTATAATTTATAAGGAAAAAATGTATCAGGTGAGATCTTATTAGATTCATAATATTGCTTGTCAAAAAAAAAAGATTCATAATATTGTGTATTTTACTATTTTATTAATATGTAATTTTCATAATTTTTTTCATTACAAAACTAAAGATATTTAGCAATAAAAAAATTATACATAAAATGATGATTTGATCCGAACTTATTTTTTCTAATCTGAACTTATTTTTTCTAAAATAAGTAAAAATAAGGTAAACTAATCTAGGCCTAAGTCTAGATGAGCAACAATTGGTTCACGTCCTTCACGGTCAACTTGCACAATAAAGCACTCTTGGCCTACTCTGTAGCATAAAGAAACTTGATTAGTTTTGTGTGATGCATATATATACACCATGTACTGTACTCGGAAATATCCTCGGGAGAACAAAGCACGTAGAGCAGCTTGCTAAAGAAAGCTCATATAATTCACAGGAAAAGAAAAGACTTAAAAGAGTAGTTCAAATATCAATCACTATGCATGAATCTTAACACAGTATAATTTAACCTGGCTTGTGGACCTATGATGCATTGTAATTAGAACAATAAAGGTATGATATGATGTTGGATTGATGTATTGAAAATTCCATATTTCTTCGTGGCCTGTTTTGTTTACTCTATTTGACTTATTTTAAACCTAATAAATTTATTAAGTTAAAAAAAAAAAATAAAAAAAAAAAATAAAAAAAAATAAAAAAAATAGGTCCTAATAAAGGTTACTCGAGTACAAATTACATCTAAAATAACTCTAATTTGTTATTTGAATGTGTGATAGTATTTTGTATATAACAAAAGACTTCTGAAAATTGGATATCTTATAAGTTAAACACAATTATATGATATGTTAGGATTTTTGTCATTAAAGTTGGGCATGAACTTGGGATTATTCCTATAGCATGACAAATTCAATACCCATGCATGCATATTAACTAAAAAGCAAAACAAAATTGTAAATGAACATAGCCTAACTACTTAAATAATATTGCCTTCGTATTCATATAATCAACACGTACACTCGATCACTAAAATAATAATTCACCTATATATAACAATTATTAATAAAACATTTCCAGGATAGTTTGATAATCAATATATAAAACACCAAATTGGCAAGATAACCACCTTATCAAAGTTGTAACACTTTGACTTTTGAATATATTTGTTTAGATTAATTAATTTCAACATGACATTCATCTTTACATGTTGTATTAATAGATAATGTGGTTAAAGTCAATGGAGATTCACTTTTGTTGACAACACTTCAAACCCTCAATGGAAAAATTATGTGCAATTTAATGAACATATCCCTACCTTATAAAAAGTATAACATTACTCTTATGAATAGTGTGATATCAATTATACCCTTCAAAATGTGCATTTACATATATAACCTCATTAATATGTATAAGTTTTTTAAATGAATAGTGTTTGACAATTATATCCTCAATTTTTTTTTTTTACTCATATTCACTCATTAATGTTAGTTGCCTTGGTATACCTGGCCTCTAAACATATTTGTTTGCATATCAATAACTATATTTGTGATTTAAGGTCAAACCGAAAGAACTTCCGGATATGGCTAACTATAGCGCGCGTTAGTTACCCTAATAATAAAATAATATAATATCCTACAGTATAACTTTGCATTTATTGTCAACTTTTTTCTACCAAATTTGATATATATCGTGCTAATGCTCGAGTTTTAATATGGAGTATAAAAGGTCATATTAATGTAGCTATTAATAATTGAATAAAGTAGGTGAATTTTAAGCTTGTACATCTAAAAGTTTACTCAAAATAAATTAGGTCCCATAAACTATTTTCTTGTTCATTCCACCCCTGGTGTTCATTTAATGGCATACACTTCTTTTGCCTTTCTGGACTTACAGTTACTACTACTGTGAACTTGTGAAGTATATAAACGGTATATCCCTACCAACATAAAGTAAAGGTAAGATAGTACATTGAACTTTGAAAAAGAGTGCTAACCAAACCATGATCCATCTCACCTTCCAATATATTTTTTTCTTTTTGATTCATGAATTGAAGAGAAGTGGTAGAGAAAAGACCTTAAAGAATACGTTAGGGGAAAAGTCTTTGAGATGAGCTATCACTCTTGATGCTTGACTCTTTGATTTATGTAATGGCATGATTGGATAGATACTTCTTCTCATCATGCATCTTTTACGATTGCTCGATTCTTCTTTTTGAGTCGAGTTTAAATTAAAGATTTTCTTAATTTCATTTTAGTTAGCATGATCCTTTAAATACACTTTATCTATCTCTAATATGTTTGAAAATATAGAGTTGTCTATCATCTAATGAATACAACTTCATAAAAATGGCATATTAATATATTATTAAGATATATGTAACATGTAACAATCTTTAAGGAATGGAGAGAGTAATAATACTTGTAGATGTTTTTTGTAATTATTAATCATTTATACAATCTAAAAAATATCCTTGAGTAGTTACGTACATTTCCTCTGGTTCATTAAACCAATTTGACTCTACTAAAAATAAATAAATATTATAAATAAACAAGTATAAGTCTTTAAGGTGTCTGATTAACTACTACTACTACTCCTCAATGCTTACTTTCAACATATAAATTTTTACACTTTTTTTTACTAATATACAAGCAATGATACAACGTTACAACTAAATAAAGTTATGTATTGACAAATGTGTCAATCAAACGATTGCAATATTATGGAATCATAGTTAATTAATTAGTATATGGTACAATGTGACATACATTAAATTTGCTAAATAGTGATCCTTGATTGATCAAACTAATTATACCAAAACTTTAATAATTACATATAAAAAGTAATCTAAAATGTGAAGAGCTCTAGGTCGTTCTCACCTCACGTCCTCACCACATAATTTAAATGTTACTCCTAGCTAATTAGATCATAACTTCACATACAGTACAATCAACTGTTGAGAAGAAGGAAATGGCCCAGACATTCTAACAGTTAGAGGTTCTGTCAATGACCACACAAACCTAAAAACAAAACCCAAAATAAATGCTTACACGTTGATAATAAGGCTAGAATGCCTAGAAATAAACTTATAAAGCTTAGCTAGGAAACCAACGCCTAAGCCAATACCTTTTGCCAACCCCTATATATAAAAAGTAAGGCTCAAAAGACCTTGTACCATGATTAATGAATAATAATGTTGATTTAATTAGAAATATAAGGCCATATCTAATTCATGCTAAGATATATAACTAGTAGTGCTAGCTGCTTTGTGCTCATGTGATGGAATTCCTTCAAATAGGTAAATTAGCTAAAGATAGAATTATTCTAGTCTTCTACCATGCAACTTATTTTTCTTGATGCAACTCATACTACCTTTTTTATTTTATTTTTTTTCTTACAATGGTAAGAAAAAAAAGTAAACATCAGGAAATCCTCCTCACGAGGGGGCTACTGTGTCAAAAGAAAGGATGAGAAATAAAGAAGAATTATAACAAGAAACTATATTCAAGCTATCTCTAACTAAATGATCAACATTTGCTATCCATTCCGCTGCTTGATTTGCCTCCCGAAAGATATGATGAATGCTCTAGTTATCGAAATTGCTAAGAAGAGAACAAATGTCTTTAACAATATGATCAATTTGCCATGGTATTGACCAGATGACTTTAACGGAGTTGATTACTAAAAGAGTATCATCACCTTCAATAATAATATTTTTTATCCCACACTCAAGAGCTAGAAGAATGCCTTTATGAAGAGCCATGACCTCTATTATGAAAACCTTGGTGGTGCCGAGGTTGAAAGCGCGAGCTCTTAAAACTGTCTCATTGATGTCTCTGATCAGAATCTCTGCTGCTGCTGACTTGTTGAGTATTGAATCGTCAAAATTAAGTTTTGTAGAAATTTGTTGGTGGCGCCTCCCAGGCAACCATGTTAGTGTTTGTTGAAGAATGAGAAGGAGGAGTATATGAGGATCTCCAAATAGGAAATCTTGATGAAGAAAAGGTGTCGGTGAGAATTTTATAGTGTCACTCATTGAATGCAAACTGTGCTCAATGGTAAATTCTAGGAATACAAAGGGTTCTTGGGGGAAAATTATAGAATTACGCTCTTTCCAAATTGTAGACACCCATTTGTGTCTCCCCAAAACCAAACCCAGTGATAAGTACCTTTCACGTAGAATCATAATCGAATGAAACGAAAGTGTGGAAAGGTCTAGTGTTGCAGAAAGTTTTAATTTCTTTTCTCTTCTCTCTGTTTTTAAAACTTTATTTTTAGAAAACAGCCAATCCAGTTTGGTTGGTCCATGATATGGGTCCAATAGTAGTTTAGTTGGATGGGGCTAGCAAAGACCTTTTCCAATGATATATTATAAGCCCAATTCCGATGAATATTGAGGAAGTTATGGCCAATTTACCAAACTGGGCCCGGTTTGAGCCTTATGTGCGGCCCAATGATCTAGGGG